TGAGCTTCAACAACTCAATAGGGACAGAACATTGTCACAGTAAATTGACAATACTAAATTAAGTGTCCTGAAATCATATAACAAAATACCAAATTATTAGCAATGACAATGCATGAGTTCAAATGCAAACTCTTCGACTATTCCCGTTAATTCATATAATAAAACACGTGGACCTGCACGTCCTATACCGTGCATTTTACCTCTGTAGTGGTGGTTCGAATGTTCTATTATACAAATTAACCACATGTAACTCAATCATCTCAATTTCCCTTTTTGTTAGTCATCTTGCAAAACTCTTCATCGCCAATCCCGAATTACCCTAAAAGCAACTGTGCATTGTGGGTTTGCCTGAGACTTTGTACCTACTAAGAGTTTGGCTCAACTACACAAAAGATCATTTCCATTACCCTCATTTTTAATTCCATTCTCAACACCGAAGCTCCAACCACATGACACATCATGAGTGATTTACAAATACTTTCATTTCATCATTCACATATACCACAATATATTCTCAACCAAACATAATTCCCTAGTCAATAACAAACATACACCCAAGAGAAACATTTAACAAATTAGCATCAAATCACATCAATCAACCAATAAGATCAATAATAATAACATAACACTTTGCAAAATTTAATATAGCCAATCTCTATAAAGGTCTGCTGTATTTTCCCTACTTGGACTCCAAAGCATTGCACAACTCTCTATTACAAGAGTTCACCACCTTGATAAAATCCTGAGATTGTAGTACTCTTCTCCATATATCATTAGACGAAAACGAAATCAAATTTGAGATGAAGTATGGTTAGGGTTTGGGATTTTTCTTTATTTCCACCTAAAGAGCATGAGAAAGAAATGAGAGTTTTCTCACTGATCGAACTCTCTCTCGCCCTCTCTCTTTCTCTCCAACCCGACAAGGGTATATATAGGCATCCTCATCTTCCTGATTTGCACTGCCTGCATCTTCTTATTCCTTTGGGTTCAATCATCACTTGCCATGTAGCTAAATTGCCCCTAACCTAATCAGAACAACTCCCTTTGCTGTCTGATTCTAGCTGCTGTCACGTGGCAAGCTAGCCACTCATTGTCTGCCATGTGGTGCTTATTCATTGGCCCAACATGTATATTACCTTAAAAATTCATCGAGTTAGGAAAGGTAATTGAAAATATGCTAAGAACTTGTATTAACGTCCACTATCTTTTTATGAATTCTCAATAAATAAGCTAAACATATATTTTTTTTCAAATATTTCTCTTCCTTGTTAATAAAGTCTTGGGATCTCACAGAAGGTCATTTTGTTATGCATTCTAGAGAAGTTATTCTGGGATAGTTCGCTCATGGTCCGTTGGAAACTATCTATCTTCGAAGCAAAGCACTCTCAGAAGCATATTTATAAGCAATTATGGGACCATGATTTTCTGGTCCCATGACGAGTGGCACCTTGGGTGGCAAGAAGGACTGGAATGCACATAGACCATGAATTTCAGAAGGTCGGACTAGCTAGGCTTCCTAATCCGAATCGGAGTAAGGTATTCGAACATGCTGAGTAGTTAGAGGCATAGTTAGACATCCATTTCACAACTTGCATTACTTGTCTCAAGTACAGAAACTCTAGTTCAAGTCCAATTAGAATATCGTGGTGATTAGGCAACTTAATCATAATCCTAGGAGGATTGGATTGCTTATCTTAGACTTCTTCCTAAATAGTCTCATGATCTAACTGGGATTACTTTCCCTACAAGGACTCCCAAGATCTCCATAAATACCCTAACTTGGGTATTTATCAAGCGTAAACAATCACATATGAAGATACATCTCTCTGACATTCTCTCTAAGACTAAAAGAGGCTCATCTTTCTACATGTTGCCATCTATGTGTAAACATGTCCACAAAGAACTCATCTCATCATGCCCCTCCATAGGCTATTCATCAAGGATGTATTCTAATGTATCACACATCATACCTACTCCTTTCTTAAAACTACATTTATGGTTTTATTCTCCTTCGGATATATGTAAACAGTCCAATCTGGATTCAACCACACCCCCAAACAACCCAATTCTCCCCTTTACCAGATATCATGGATCATTCAGCCTAAATCCCGACTCCATCAATGAATGTGCGCGATTTTAGTTCCAACAATGAACCCTATTTATAATTGGAACCATAGTTACTTATTAACTACTCACACGAGCTTCGTTACTTATGCGGATTTTATTTTCCGGTGCACCATTCCTATGGTGTAGTATTGGTTTAGTCACGAGGGACTTCAAGTGCAGTTATGTTGGAGTTGAGCATCTGAATTGACTAGGTTCATTGCCTTTATTTATCATTTATTTCAACACTTCGATTTGCGAGCCTACTTGCTTATTTATTAGGTACTTATCTATGTATTTTATTAAAGTACTGAATCAATTTGAATTTTATTTTAGTCATACAGTTATGTTCTGACTTACATATCTACCATGAATATATCTGGAGATCGGGGCGTGACACTTGATCACCCTTGGAAGGGTGGAAAGGTTAAATTTAGTTGCCTTTTTTCGCTTGTCTTTTTCTTTTCCAGAATGTTTGAGGTGTTTATGTTTCACTAAATAAGGTTTAAGTTTGGATGGTATTAGTCGTATAATCTTGTCCACTTATTAGTTCTATACGTGTATGATGGGCTTGATGTTGTGGATACTTTTGTGGATTGACAGAATAAACAAAATTGGAGTAAAAAAAAAAACGACCTAAACCCAAACCATCGAACAAAAAGTGGAAAAAAAAAAGTAAAAAGAAAAAAAACCCCCCAAATTGTACAGTAATTTCAATTCGATTTTCGGTTTTGGGAAAAAAACCGAATAGATTTAAACTGAACCAACTCTTACTGGTTTGTAGGAATTTTAAGGGATCATTCACTAACATTTGAACAATAAATCTCATATAGATGTCTTCATCTATATACCCCTTGAACTTGTATACCATGTTAGTTTCTATTCTGAACTTTTATTTAGCTAATTACCCTGGTGAATGTTTATAAATAGTTAATTACTTCTCCACCATTAGACTACTCAACATCGCATCCAAAATTCCTTTCATCTTTATCTTTTTCACGTGGCATCAAGTGAGCCAACTAAAAGGGTAAAAAGGTCTCATACGTAGATAAGCCATTGTTATACTCTATATAGGGATTGATGGATCAAGCTGCCTACACAATCTAAATGGTTGGATTTACTGTGGGCCGAATAGTCATTTAACGCTCGTAATTTGGTCATAGGTTGTGCACATGAGAAATATGAACGGAATAGTGTGAAATTTAAAAATCTGATGGCGATGAGGAAATTGACTATTTGAAAAAGTTTGGAAGATAATTGGTTAAAATAAATTCAGGCCATTTACCAAATATGACAGATGATTCGATCACAACGTAAGAAAAAAAGTGGAGAAATATTAATGCAAACTTGTGAATACTCTGGGATACAAACTTGGGATTTGCGATACCAAGTAAGATCGGTACATAATCATGCGGCAATTTTCTCTTAGATAGGAAGGGCTCTTGCACAAAATATATGTTAGTAATTGTTCTATATGCCTATATGAGATTCTCATGTATTCAAATGGTACTTTGAACTTGGAACAAGCATGAAAAAAAATTAAAAATACTTAATTAACATTGACTTAAAAATTCAAAACATATATAGGCGAAAATGCCTCTAATGTAATCTAGATACCAAACAATAAACCCTAATATTTTGAAGTTATTCTGGGCTCACAAATACATGACATTGGGTTATGTTGTCTTCCCAACTGCCAAGTCGTTTACTTTCCTACACGGCTAATTCTGTGATGAAAAAAGGAAGCTTTTTCACAGTATTCATCTGAAATTGAGGACACATAATGCAACTAATTCAACTTCTCTCTTACTTTGGCTAACTCAGCAGATTCATGTGATTTTCCAAGTCAATGATGCGAATACAAGTGTGAAGTGTCTAGTAGTAGTATCCAGAGACTCAAGAATATGGTGATACGATTGATAGAAGTATATTACTAATATAGTAATAATATGATGAGTAGACTTTTGAAACAGTAAACGCATATAATATTCACCTGTAATCTTGAACACATCATTTTCCCACACAGTTTCTTGCGCATCAATTATGCTACACAATTGAGTTGTTAATTATCATTAATATCAATGTTTAATGAGTATGTCCCTTTCATTGCAAATGTCGACTAAAATGCGTACACACACACACCTTATGATTATTGTATACCTAGCGTGATTAGCATGAAGTTCCACTAATAATTGTACTTGTGATTAAATTTCGACTCCTTAAAATCAGGAGTAAGAGGTACGTGATTTTCCTAATCACGACAGTTCGGTATACGTTAATGTTATGTTATTAACTTATTTAATTAGACAGGTTGTTATTTGAATGTTTTTATTCACGGCAATGTGATACACGTTCACGCAAAGTTATTACACTGATTGACTAGCTCTTAATTTTGTGGTATTTCTGTTTTTTATTTTTATTTTTTCAAAGAACGAAATGTTTAAGTGAGGGAGTAGGATTCTCTCCCCCTTTTTTTTTCCCTCCCCTTCCCTCCCCTCCTATTTGAATGGTCACGGTTAAACCACATCAACATCTTATACGAATTTTTTATAGCAAGAAAAAGACAAAATAAGAGAATATAACAGAAGAGGATGAAATGGGATGGAAAGAGGAAGGGAGAGAATCATAGTCCTTAAGTGAGTCGTTATTTGAATTTTTCTAATCATGAGAGTGTGACATGCGTGATGTTATTAAACTAATTGATATGGTATGAGCAAATGTAGTGGCTCATAGGCTTGGAAAGTATAACTATTTAAAGGTGTTTTTTTATTTGTATAATGTGCCCCTTCATTTTATTATTAAACAATTTGGTGAATCGTCATTTGAGTTTGTCATATTGCTACATTGATTCATCGTGAATCGTTATTTGAATGTTTGATTCAAATTTACAATACGAAAGCATACAATATATATTTTATTATAATTAGCATCGGATCACAATGAGACAAGGAAAATGAGACTTTTTTTTAAATTTTTTTAAAGTTTTTAATTATTTATTTTTTATGATAAGGAAAAATGGGACGGTAAAATCCCAAAAACATGAATATTTCCTCATAAAAACTTAGTGCATGCAGGGCACAAATCTAAGCTGTGACTGATGTCTCCACTGCAACCTTCCCAGAGTAACCAACTTTAGATTTCCTATCAGCCTCCCAAAGCTCTGGTATTGCTTCCCTAAGGTTGTGAATGCTTTCCAAAGCATAATCTGCACCTTTTACTCTCTGAGATGTGCCAACCTGTAACATTCAATAGTGACAATAAGATCGCATCAGCTTATGACCAACTTTGTCAACCTGTACTGCTGTACAAGTTGATTGATGATGATTTCTTTAGGAGTTGTGATGAGATCCGTTGTATGTGAGTTAGTATGTTTTTGGTATAAAGTTGTCAATAGCTTACCAATACAGTTTGAAGTCCCACTCTTTTGCCAGCTTGTATGTTGCGGACGCTATCTTCAAAGAACAACTGAAAGAGCCAAAAATACAACCAAAAATGGGCATAAGTGAATAATCTAAAGAACCTGGAGATATTCAAATTTTGAGAAGAAAATATAAATGTTTCTTACTGTTCTCTGAGGGTTAATGTTGGCTATCTTGAGAGCCCGTTCGATGGCATCTTCGGATGGTTTGCAGACAATTGGAGTTTTGGGTAGTTTGGAAGTGGGGTTTGCTGTAGCAAAATGGCCAATGATGTCAAAAATCTGGGAGCTGCTAGTAGTGGTGGTAGTGCTGCTTAATCCCACGAATTCTATGTCGTCTTCGTCGTCAGAGACCGTGTTTTTGTGAATCGGATTGAGGGTCTCAAAGCAGATAATCCCTTCAAAAATGTCTTCCAATCCAAGCCTGCTTAGTGCTTTAGCAGCGTGGATCTTGTCTGCATTTGTGAAAATCTGTTTCACATATAAAAGAGAAATAATTAGCATAAAGAAAAAAGCTTGAAACTCTTGTCACGTGATGTGAAAGACAAGGGAATAAATAACCGGTTACACAGTAGGTGCTTACAATTTTCCTGTAAGGCAGGTTCAGCAAGAGGCTCCTCAAAACCGGGTCCGGTTTTATGTTCTCATAAGGTAATCTTCCATGGACAAAACTGTGATATTCATCGTAGTCAAAGTCATAGCCAATTGCCTGCAAAGAAGGACCCGCAAAGTTATGCATAATTCATTTGAAAAGCTTAGAAATAAAATAATAAAAGGTCAAAAATATGCGAAGAATTTAGAAAAGAAAAAAGTACCCTGAGACCAGCCATTGTTGTTCCATAATTCTTGTACAGTAGGTTACCCAACTCAGGGATTATGCTCCTGTCAATGCCAAGCTTTTCAACCATATAATCTGGAGGAAAAGAAAAAGGGAAGTCATCAAAACAAATTATATTGATATGAAAAATGCGGAACGGAAGGGTTCCTCGACTATCCTAGCCATCTGGCCTAACCCACCTCTGCAGTTCCAAGGCCTCACTTAGAATAAAAAGTATTACCTTCTATATTGATTCTGCATGCTGTAGCAATGCCACTGCTATAGGGATACAGTGTATCATCAAGATCTGCAAAAGTTCAAACAAAAGTGGTCTAAGATGATTGCTTTACAAGTGAACTCGTATTCGTACATAAATTTCCAAAATTAAAAGGCTTACCGAACAAAAGGCAGTCGAATTTTGTCCTCTGAGCCTGCATGAGTCGATCGTCGAATTCCATTTCAGGAAACCTTCAGAAAACGGCGAAGAGAAGTGAACACTAAGTTCCATGAAAGCTTAAATCGACACAAGTTTATATCAAGTTTCATTTTCAGTCTCAAACTAAACTTATCCATCATCATATATGGATGACAAAAAAAATTTGTGGCCCCTATTGACTCAGATTACCACCAAAACAAGAAAAGGGTTTTCAAAGGTGAGTAATCTGAGGCCAATACCTAATAGCTTAGCTTGGAATTGGATAAGGGGTTTCTTAGTTTCTGAATGGACAATCCACAGCCGCTACTATAAATTGAATCAAAAGAAGAGGTGGACCAATGACTTTATGGGAATTTAGGTTTGGATATAGATTTATATTACAACCTAGTAAAAGTTGTATTTACTTTATAAAATCAGGCGTTAGATTAATGCATAAAGCTAAAAACGAAAGTTAACTTAAACAAAGTTTCATGTGATTATTTCAAGCACTTCCCGTAGTGTATCATAACTTTAGGGAACAAGAACAACTCATTCAATAAATTTTTACAATTTAAAACTATATTTAATTTGAATCACAAGAAAAATTATTGGGTTCATTGGGCGAGCCTCAATGTATGAACTGCTTTAGATAATGATTGGGTTCATTTGGTGTAAATTGGATTTGATCTAAGAACCAAAATTTTTGTGCAAAGTGGATGTCATATGAATGAAATGAACCACTTTTGCTTATATAAATGATGTTTGAAGGAAACCCAAATCTCCAAAAAATGGGTTGGAAATGCCTTTGATCAAAAGATTGAATATTTGACTTACCAGATTAGAATGCCAATACCAAATCGATGAACTAGAGAGAAAGAGAGAGTTTCTTTCTTGCAAGAAGAGAACTCTGGGAAGAGAAAGAGAGAGAGAGAGAGAGAGAGAGAGAGAGAGAGAGCGAGAGAGAGAGCACAATGCTAAAGGTATTGAAGAACGAAGGAGTGGGAGGAGGAATGAGAGGAGAGGAGGTGGGTTTAAATAGGCAAAACCGTTGAGAAATTCCCACGAGTTTATGTATTTTAAAATGTTTAATTAGATTATTAATTTTTTTTCATCTCAAATCACATTCAGTTAAATTAAATTTTAAATGTTTTTTTTTTTTTTGAACACGTTAATTTTTAAATGTTTAAGACTCAGAGAAGTAACAAGAAAATGAGAAAGAAAGAAGGTAACAGGAAGAAGGCAACTGGTTTCCAAGGATTGAAAAGGTTGAACCAAACGTTGTATTATGTGGACTCTCTTTGTCCAAACATTTCCAGTTTTGCCACAATCTCCATCTCACCTCCCTTCACGGTCCAAATTTACCCTTGTAGTTTCTCAATATTCCATAAATACCCCTGCATTTGAAAGCTAGTGGTAACTGGTAACTTGTTTTTGAAACAAGTGGATGCCAAAGATTGGTGCCAACAATGATGACAAAGGTGGTGGGAAGGTGCATATTATCCTTTGGTTTGATCTAAACTCTCTAAATTCAGCATTCTTGCTAAGAGGTAAATATTAATGGGGTTCTTTCAAAAGTGGAATTTTTTATGGATTATGCCACCTCATATTTCTAGCACAATGTTTTATAGTTTTGACACATGTTGACGTTAAACTGTAAGTGGCAGAAAGTTCACGAAAAATTCCACTTTTAAAACCCTAGTATTTATCGCTTATCTAATATGCTAAGAAACTGCTATTCTAATTTGGGAAGGAAAAAATTGAAGTTGCTTACAGCATACTCAATAGGATCCCAAGTATTCTTATCTTATCCATTCATATGCTTGACTGTTAAAGGTGCAATAACTAATTTCTACGACTTGACGGAAAGATAATTGGATTCATTAAAGTTGTCAAGGTGATCCTCTTAGTTTATACCAGTTGTGATTCATATATTTTTGTCGTATACGTATTATAATTTGAATTGATTATTTTCTTAAATATCATTTAAAGAACAATTTTGACAAAAAAATAAATAAATCAATGAAACGATAAATTATTTAATCTATGTATGAGCAAATTCATGGTATTTGTAACAATTAGGAACTTTAGGATGAACCAGCTATTTTATTTGATACATATCGATGATTACATTTGATTGAATTTGTTCAGCGATGTTCTTCAAATGATGTTTAAGAAAATGAACAGTTTTATTATGACATTTTACGATGAAAATTCGTTAATCACAAGTATTTCTTTAAGGAAATAATATTAACTAAAGAACAATACTTATGTGATTTCAGGACGTACCTTATATTGTGATCAACAAATTCTTGATTATACATATCAAAATCGAAACCGTTCATGACACACAAAAAAAAAAAAATACATTTCTTTGTTTTAATAAAGGTTACAAAGAAATTATAGAGCAGTATTAGTAACAATTGTTTAGTTGCCACTTAGTATTATGGTCTAGTGGTACTCTTCTTTATTTGTAAGTGAGAGGTCTTAAGTTTGATTCTCGCCAAAGACGATTTCAATCACATTATTGCTAACCTATTATGAGGCTTAGCCCACTCCTTTAGTGTTGATAAAATCGTTTGTTAAAAAAAAACAAGTTTTTTGTTAACTAAAGTAAATTGCAAAATAAAAAATTGGGGGTTGGCCGATTTAATTGGTACCCAATAATCTAGATGCTTCTGGACACAGGTTGCATCTAGGTGGATCTGATATTTATATATATATCACCATCTAAAATGAGCTCTAGTAAGCAGTAGAGACAAAAACCAGCATATGGGATGGTCTCTTTCATTCTCCACCTTCACTCAACACAGCTTTAACTTTACCTAAAAAAACTGGTTGTGCAAGCTACAATTATGAGCCTGGACACATGTCATTGCATATGATTTCGTTCATACTTTTCTCTTTTCATTTTTTTTTTCTTGAAAGAAGGCAAATTTCAACAAGCAAACAATGATATGAAATGGAGTCTAAAGATTAACTTTAGGTCAATCAGAAAGATGATATTTTATGCATGAAACTAGACAATCATTGAGGGTGCTAATTAGTACATTAATTGGTTTAATTAATTATAATATTTGTGGTTGAAAAATGCAGCTAACCACCACCATTTGTGGTATGCATATAGCAATGATGGTTATAAATTACCGTGTCACACTTTTTTCATGATTTACAAACCCCTCTAACTCTATTTTTTTTATTCAATGTTCTAAAAATCGACTTTGGCACTGATGCTTAAGCAAAAGCGTTATGCGGTGATCAACAGTCAGAAATTAATCCGTAAATAGAGAAAAAAAATAAAAAAAAAATCAGAAAGTCGCCTAAAAAGTCTAAGTAAACGCCTGAATGACCTAGGTGGCCTAGGTGGTCTAGGAGGTCTTGGCTTGGTTGAAAACTCTATGAAAATCAGAGTATGATCATTATGGTTTCAAGATTTTTTCAGAAGAGAATTGCGCGCTGAGCTTCTCTCTGCCCATTTTGGGTTCGTAGAGGAAAGACAAAATGTGTATCTCTCTCCAATTCCCAAGTGACCATCTCTCATCCTTTTCTCTTTTATATTTTAACTGTTATTCAATGAGGCTGTGCCACCCAACATTCTAATTAACAAAAGTGTCAGCCACCTTCCACTCAGCCAATACCTTTTTATACCACGTGTTTGATCCAGTTATTTTTCTTAAAATTCACCATAAATGAATACAACATCTAAAAATATTTTCTAAAATACTATTGACTTGAAACCACTTGAACACTAAAGAAAAAATTTCAACAGTTTTATAAGTCATATTTTAAATATTTTTTTTAAAGTACATCAATATTTTTATACTAGAAGAATGAGGAGTTCGGTTAAGTCACACAATGGGTAACCTAATTTAGTATTGAATTCACCATTCATGAGATTCAAACCTAAGATCTCTCACTTTTAAGTAAAGAAGAATATCACCAAACCGTAGTACTGCGTTGCAAATAATAAATTTAATTTAAAAAAATGCCTAAAACTCGTTTAGGCTAGCATAGGCATTTAGATGCTAGATTCCTCCTTGCCCCTCGGCTAGCGCCTAGCTATTTTTAGAACATTATTATTTTTTAATATAATGATATATTACACTAAGAAGTGCGGAGTTTGGGTAGGATGTCATAATAAGCTAAGTCATAATAATTTGATATTAAACTAGTCATACACGAAAGTTAAATCTAAGACTTTCTATTTACAAGTAAACAATAATAACACTAATGCTAAGTGACTACGTAACATGAAGTTTAAAGCAAACCATTGCGTCATTTACATGATGAACACGCACTAGCTTGGTATCTGACACAGATAAAAAAAATTGATAACTTGTATGATATGCATCAAATATTGCCCAAAATATTCAATATCAGCTCCATTCAGTGGATTGTGGAAGATGTCTGCATCTTCGATTTGTATGAATTATATACCATAAATTTGAGAGCCTAACCTCCATAATTGAGGGATGGTGGGGGAAGTCATATCCAATTTTTTTTTTTTTATAATAATTATAGATGATAAATTGTATGAATAATTGTTGAAATTAACCTTTTAAATAATAAAGGTGTCACCACAATATAGCAGATATACGTGATCAATTTGGAATAATTTATAACTTTACATGCCCTTAGCTAGGTGTAAACGCAAGATATATTGGACTACTTTGTGATCTATCTTGCTTCCTTTAAACTCAACAATATATATATATATATATATATAGGTAGCTCAAATATATGTTAATTAATTAGTAGTTAGTGTCATGAGTTAATGTGACACTAACTACTTATTTTGGTCAGGACCGTCTCTGAGATTTTGGGGGTCATGTGCGAAATTTATAAAAACATCCCTCCTTAAGATAAGTCTTAACAAATGTAGGACAATATATTGACGCTAGAAAACAATCACTCAAATCAAAACAAATTTTAGCACTTACTGATTGCAAGTTTAAAAATGTCATTAATAATAAGTAAAAAGAGTTACAAACATAACGTTCACTAAATAATCAAAAGCAGTTCAATCTTAAACAACCAAACAAGAAAACAAACTTCAAAAACTCTAACTTTAAAGTGTCACTTGAATATGTAACATTATTATATAATAATATTGAAAAAATACCGTCTTTTATGGTGTATTATTGGCACTCAAAATATTTTATTGTACTCTAAATTTTTGTATTTAGAAAGAAAAAAATTACGCTTATGAGGAGTGTACGATGAGATTTTAAAATGCTAACAAAATCAATTTTTGAATATAGAACATTATTTCATAACAAAAGCAACTTTAAATATAAAATATTATTACATATAAATATTAGATGACAAAAAATTTGGGAGCCCCTTCAAATTTAGGACTTTGTGCGATTGCACCTTTCGCACCCTCTCAACGCCCCCTCTGATTTTGGTGCACTCTAGAATATACTCATATGCTAGAACTGTTCATTTTAAGATCATATTGTAAAAATTCACTGAAATTGAAAAATTATTTAGCTATTTGATGATTATTATGAATACCGTCATAAGAGTATTGAAGTTTTGCAAATATTTCTATGATGACCTAAAACTTAGATATGTTGAAGAATCGGATCACATCGGTCATATGACTAAATAATGTCCAATTAATATTTGAGAGTTTCCACCTATAATATCATTGAGGCATTTTATGATAAAACCAAACACCTAGTAATTGGTTATGTTTAGATAATCTGCAATATTGATAGTGGACTATGTTAAGCCTACAAAGTTTATCAACACATACAGTTTGGATTATATGATCGTTATTTAATCGTCAGGTTTACTAAAATTACTTGTTTGCCTATTATTTAGAAAACTAAATTATATTGTAATGTAGTATTGAAGTTTGGCAGAGTTGTATTTCAATGAGAACTAAAACTTAAACTTAAACATGCAGTTTGAATACATTGTAAAATAATTATTAAAAAAAACGAGTGGTTAACACTGTATTAATTTATTAACTCGTTAACACTTGAATGCTGAGCTAT